CCACTCTGTCAGACAGAGAGATATACCCTTCCCACCTTCCCCATACCCCCCGCCACCCACCCACTCACACAGCCATTCGGCAGAAATCAAAGCCATCCAAAAAAATTCACTCCGAAAGTGTTCGACGGGACTATCATTGCTCCCTCCACCACTCAGACACCCCCACCATACTCATTGCCCACTTACACATCCTCCCGACCACCCTCTGTACACCCCCCATGGTCACATATCCATCGTCCCCGTCAGACCACCCCGTCACCCTCCATTGGTCCTCCCGGCACTGTGACGTCAATCTCGGCACTGTGACGTCGTGCCCTTCCCTGCCCCCGTCTGCCGGGAAGCCCTGCCACCATCCGCCACCGCCCGCCCCTTCCGCCCGCTCCGTCGCGGACAAGCAAGGCAACGTCCCCATTCAGCCAGCAGTCGCACCCTGGATCCTCACGGACCGCGCCAATCCCGAGGAAGGCGTGTGGCATCACGGACACAAACGCATACACGCGTGCTCTCTGCCGATAGAGTATGGCTACCACATCAAGAGCCGCATACGCCTGGGCCGCACAGTGGAGATTGTCGCGCTCTCTTCAGATGTCTTTCCACGTGGACTCGTCGCCGAGCGAGCGCGGATGTGCGGCCAGTACTATCTTGGCATTCCTCTTGATACCAAGGACGCCTGAGAGCATACCACGAGCGACAGTTGCGTGCATGTGCAAGTCGCCGAGAGCAGCATCACTGCTGATGCGATGCTGCAACCTGTTGTTCGGCGGCAAACGAGCCCAGACCACGAGTGCGTTGACGAGCTGCACGTCACGGACACGCCCCCCGTCCACAGTAGTGCCCAGCTGGTCATCCCAGACGAGCAGCGCTGGGCCGGAGGAAGCGGCACTTGCTGAGATGGAGACGAGATTGGGGCAGCTTTTTGCGATGGTAATCACCGCCGAGTCAGTGATCTGTGAGCAGGACGTCAAGTCGATTGAGGCAGCGCTGGGACACTTCTCCGCCGGTGCAGGATACGTCTGCATTCAGCAAGCATTTACAGGGCGCGAAGCGCTTTGATGGCCGGCACGAGGAGCGTGGTGACCCCGACAACTACCACGCATCCGTTGCCGACAATAAACATGAGCGTCATCAGCGCCAGTGACGATGTCTCGCCCGTCTCAGCCATGCTCGACACGAGCATGAGCGACACAAGTGCCATCACCGCCGCCCCGATTTCCAGTTGAAGCGCCAGCCCCGCCCGATACGGCCGAATAAGGACCAAGGCCAGCAGGTACGCCAACAGCACACACTGGAGCATCGGTCCCACAAACACCGAGCCGCGCGGCAGGATCGAGACAAAGACAGCCACTCCGAACCGACGACCGAGCACCACGCCCTCGAACCACCACGCCTGAGCAGTAAAGCCTGTGTAGAGAAAAGCGTAAGCAGACGTGGTCCCCGCGCCGTTGATGGCATACCACATCCGAGTTGCGACAAACGCTACTGTGCACGCAATCGCGGCAAGCACAACGCCGGCGACAACCACAAGCTCTAGATGGCGCCCGCGCCAGCACGCCATCCACGGCGCCGAGGCGAGGTACGATGCGCGCGGGTGCGAGACGTTCTCGGGCACACAGGCAAATAGCGCTAGCGACTTGGAAGCGATGGGAAAGACGAAAAGTAGAGCGTGATGAGCGCATACTTGCCCGCTGCCGTTGCCAATGTCCGAACGCGCCTAGACCGAGCCACGCCTGCCATGACCACGCCCTCACTGTTGCTCCCGGCCGACGCAAGCAGGACCCGGACAATGACGGTGGCAGCACCCAATGCCACCAGGAGTATAGGTAGCAGCGCTAGAAAGAGATAATACTCGCCGGCAAAGTCGATGCCGTTGCACTCGAGCCCGGTCACCTGCAGTGTCGTTCGCGACACTAGCGCGCCCACCACCTCCATCGACTTGGACCACGCCACCTGGTCGTACACGCCCACGAGCGCAGCCAGAGTCTGCAGATGGACGACCAGAGTCTTGATGGCAGCCTCAAGCAGGTGCACCTCGGATCCGGTCCCGGCCTTGGGTGCGGACATCCCCGCAGCTGTCCCCATACCCAAGCCCACGCCGTCGTCTTCCCCTTCGTCTGTCGACGACGACGATGAGCGGTAGAGGGTGTAGGTTGCGCCGACAGAGACGTCATCAAGATCAATTGCGGGCATGAGTGCGCGCTTGCGTTGACTGGCGGCAGTGGAGGCGCGGGCAGTGCGAATGCGGTCGACCACAAGGTAGGCGATCATGGCCGAGAGACCAAGGCCGAGGACCACGACTTCGAACGTCTCGCAGAGACCGACAAGGACAAGGGCCAAGAGCAAGCCGATCTCGAGTACCACCAACGCGATCTCGTGCCAGAGCACCCGTGCCCATCGCAGCGTCTGACGCACTAGATGGCAGCGCTCGGCGCCTGTCAGCGCCCGTACGACTGCGCCGAGATCAGCATCGTCCCTGATGAGGACGTCTGCCGCTGGAGGAGAACGAGGAAGAGCAGCAGTGCAAAGCCGACCGAGATGAGGGCGGTGACCACAACCGGGCCCGGGCCGGTCACCGCAGGACAGACCCTGCACTCACCGTCGGACGATGAGTAGTGTCGCGCCGCGCAGTGCGAGCATAGCCGCCCGTCGCGGCCAGGTGCACAGGCGTCGTCGCCCAGACACCGACGCGCGGCGACGGTGGGCGACCTGGTGCAGGCGATGAACTCGATCGGCGACGACGACGAGTAAAAGCCAGGAGCGGACCGTGGGAGCGAGGTTGTGCCCGTGCAGACCGCGCCCGTCGGGCACAGCGTGCAGCCAGTGGCGGGCGAGACCGGATGGGTCAGGGCGTAGGACTCCGGGACACAGGTGCAGGCTCCCGGATCGGCGGTGCCCTTGGGCGAGGTCGTGCGGGTTGGGCAGTGGGTGCAGTTGGCGGCGTTGGTGGTGGTCGAGTACTGAGCGGACGGGCAGGGGATGCAAATATCACCGGAGGTCCTGTACGTTCCTGGGCCGCAGTCGGCAGGTACAAGAGTTGCCTTACCCGAAATACGGCTGATCTGGTATGCTGCCAAAGGCGCTGGAATGCTGATTGTCCAAGGCGCAACTGGGAGCTTGCTGGCTCCGTTAACGATGGTCAGCGGCGAGCTGTTGAACTCAGTTACGGTGTCCGAAAAGGGTATGTCCATAGAGGTAGTGACCACGAGGTTGGGTGTTGGGTCAATTTCGAGGCGGAGATCTACATCGAGATAGGTGACTCGACTGCCAAAAGCATCGCGGAGAGCGGCGCTGCCGCCACGCAGCTGCTCACCAACAGGAACTGTTGTCGGGGGACTCGAAACCAGCTCCAGCTCTGCGGGAGCTGTCGAGATGGCGGCGATTGTGAGCTGTGTAAGTACAGACGGGTCCAACGAAAGCCACGGGATGCCGGACACGTTTGTCCGATCAAACGGAAACCCGAGACTGCTATCTGGGAGGCAGAGGAATACATCAGCCGCTGTTGCATCAATGCCGTCCGAGACAGAGGCGGTGTTGTCAGACCAGAAGGTGCTGGCACCGGTGATGGAAAGGACAGCATCGCAGGCATAGATGGCACCGCCACGGTACGCGCGGTTGCTTCGCAGGATCGCATTGGTAAACGTAGCAGTCGGAGCGAGGGTGCGCGGATCGAGTGTACTGGTGCGGAGATGTGCAGTGGACGAGACGAGGGGGTCGCGGTCGTAATCTTCGCCGAGGACGGCAACAGCGCCACCGACATGGGCCGAGTTGTTGACCATCACGTTCGCGTCGAGGACGACTGTTGCTTCAGGTCGGATAAGAGCAGCACCACCTGACTCAACAGCCGAGTTACCTGTAAAAACACAGCTCGTGCAGGTCACGTCGGCGGTGGAATCGACGAAGAGCCCGCCGCCAGCGCGAGCCTTGTTGTCGATAAACGTCGTGGCCTCGATTTCTGCAAAAGCATGGCCAAACACTGCCAGCGCACCACCCCGACTCGAGGCCTGCGAGCCCAGGAGACGAGCCCCAGTCATTGTCAACAACGATCCAAGACCACGGACTCCGATAGCACCGCCGTGCGTGGAGGAGGCACAGTTGGAGAGCGTGACGTTCGACAGGTGGACGTGCCCGCCAGACTCAACCATCAGGCCCCCACCAAAAGCTACCAATGCCGACTTGCCGCTGAAATCAATGGTTGCGTTGGATAGCTCGAGGAAACCGGACGGCGTACCAACGGAGAAAAGCCGATTGTCTGCAGCGCTACAGTCAAAGACAACATCGCCTGATGAGACAAGGCGCACTCCAGTTCTCAGCTCGACTGTGCCTGAGGAGCAGATGTAGGTACCTGCCGGAAGGTTGAGAGTGACGATCGAACACGGCGGAACGGCCCGAACAGATGCAGCAATGCAGTCGGTGGTCATCGAACTCGAGCGACAAGCGTATAGAGAGGATCCCCCGAGTTCGGCACGCTGCTCTGGGTAGCGGCGAAGGGCATCACGCGAAAGCTGCGAGCACCATGTAAGACTACTCGACGTCACCACAACATCAAGGTCGCCATCAGCATCGAGGTCGCCGGCTGTGACTAAAGCGACGTCTTCAACGCCTGCGGCCACCACCCGGGGCCTCGCAAACGATCCACGGCCAGCGTTCTCGAACCAACTGGCAGAATTATCAGAAGACAACGCGGCAACCACATCGAGATCGCTGTCGCCATCAACGTCCACAACAATAACGGACACGACACCATTGGCGAATCTGCTTATCAAACGCTGTGATCCAAACCCTCCAAGACCGTCGCGATTGCGGTACCAGACGATGACATTGCTCGAAGATGAAGCCGCCACTAGGTCGACGCGACTGTCGGCGTCGATGTCGGCGGCGACCACCAAGGAAGCTCCTACCAAGGTACTGCTGATCACTTGCTTGGGGCGAAAAGTACCGAGGCTGTCGTTGTTGGCGTGCCAGGCAACAGTGCCGTCCAAAGGCGAGGCAAATGCCAGGTCGATACGCCCGTCGGCGTTAATGTCGGCGGCGGCGATGGAGCAGACATCGGGAGCGGAGTCGGTAATCACTTGCACAGAGCCAAACATGACGACATCGTTCGTGTTAGGGAGCCACGCGATGACGTTGTCGGCGGGTGAGCAGTATGCCAAGTCGATGCGGCCATCGCCATTGATGTCGGCGGCAATGATGCAGCGGACGCCAAGGGCGGCAGTAGTGACCACTTGCGCGGAGCCAAACGTGCCGAGACCGTTTGAGTTTGGGTACCAAGCGATGGTGCTCTCCGACGTTGAGGCGGCCACAATGTCAAGATCTCCATCAGCATCGATGTCGGCAACAATGACGACCTGAACGCCAAACGCGGCCGAGCTCACCACCTGGGCAAGAGCAAAGGAGGCCGGCTCGTCGGTGTTGTCGTACCAAACAATGGTGCCGTTGGCGGCAGACGCGGCGACCAAATCAAGACGGCCATCTCCGTCGATGTCGGCAGGAGTGACAGATGACCAGCGCCGAGGGTCTACTATCTGTGGAGCAGCAAATACGCGAGGGGCGGTAACGCTTCCATACCAGAAAATCTTAGACGAGGACGCCGAGACCAGGTCAAGATCGCCATCTCCATCCATGTCAGCCGCAATCACAAATCGCGCACCGTCCGCTGCCGTGCTCACCACTTGCTGTGGCCCAAAACTCCCAGCTGCATCAGTGTTCTCGTACAACGCAATCTTGTCGTCGCCCCACGACACCGATGCCAGGTCCAGATCGCCATCTCCATCCATGTCAGCCGCAATCACAGACGACGCACCGCGCGCTGCAGTGCTCACCACTTGCTGCGGCCCAAAGCTCCCGGCCCCATCGGTGTTCTCGTACCAGGCAATCTTGTTGTCGATGCGTGACGCAGACGCCAGGTCGAGGTCTCCATCTCCATCCATGTCAGCCGCAATCACAGACGCCGCACCGCGCGCTGCAGTGCTCACCACTTGCTGTGGCTCGAAGCTCCCGGCCCCGTCGGTGTTCTCGTACCACGCAATCTTGTTGTCGCCCGCCGACGCCGACGCCAGGTCCAGATCGCCATCTCCATCCATGTCAGCCGCGATCACGCACGACGCACCGAGCGCTGTTGTGCTCACCACCTGCTGTGGCCCAAAGGTTCCGGCCCCGTCAGTGTTCTCATACCACGCAATCTTGTCGTTTCGCCCCGACGACGCCGATGCCAAGTCCAGATCGCCATCTCCATCTATGTCAGCCGCAATCACAGACCGCGCACGGTACGCTGCAGTGCTCACCACTCGCTGCGACCCAAATCTCCTCGCCCCGTCCGTGTTCTTGTACCACGCAATCGTGCCGTCGTAGGCACCAGGCCCACTCAACGCCGACGCCAGGTCCATATCGCCATCTCCATCGATGTCAGCCGCAATCACACACCACGCGTCGCGTACTACAGGGCTGACAACTTGCCTCGGCCCGAAGTTTCCGGCTCCGTTGGTGTTCTCGTACCAACCAATGTTGGCTTGGGGGACCGCCCACTGTTCGCTGGTCGTGCCGTCGCCACGTCCAGGTCACCATCTCCATCGATGTCAGCCAAAGCCAAAGACGCTGCACCGCCCAAAGCCGTCACAAGGGTGTTCTGCACTGACTCAACCTCGGCCCGGCACCGGGGAACGTTAGGCTTTTGCCACGGCGCGTGCCTCCTCCCACCACCCAGTACAGCATTCACCAGCACGCACACCACCAGCACCAACACACACACCCGCACACAGACACGAGATGCACCCTTGTTCCAACGCATGTCGCCTGTGCAGCCCAACGTCTTGTTCGCTACAGTCGTGGGTGAGAGTGCAGTGGAGTGTGCGGCTACCGCGAGTCCACGACCCGGCGGGAAAAATGCTGGCCAACGGAGCGTCGTGCTGTGGAGACAAAACGCGACATGAATGATGGGCTGTTTGAACTGCGTTGACCTCTGCGCCAGCAGTGATCAGCTCCGAGACAACGCTGGCCAAGAACAAACGGTTGGCGAAGGCCCGGAAGGTGATAAGGAGAGCTAGTGTGGCTATGGTGATGCTCGGTACACCGTCGTTGATGGCCCGGTCCGACTCAATCAAAAGTCCGATGGACGAGTGCTAGCCACTTGCATGAGAAACGGCATGACTTGAGGCACACTTTTGGTTGGGATTCGGGGTTGAGGAGGGGGAAAGGCGCCGGAAGGGGTAGAGTCAGCAAGAGCGTGACTCTGTGGTGGCGGAGGGGGATGGCTCAGCATATACATTGGTGATCAGCCTGATCCGTGATGATCAGGCACCACGGCCACAACAGCTCCACCCCAACTCTCCACACGAAAGCTACACCTTCACTTCACATTGCGGCACCCAGCTGCCACTGCGTCCCCAGCCAGCACGGCACAACCGCGCGCAGCGAGGCAGCGCGATCCCGTCGCGAGTACAGCTTGGACGCCTGCGGCTTGAGCATCTCTCGCGCTACGCGCGCCAGCACGTCGACCTCGTCTCGCGAGAGCTGGCCAAACGTGCTCGACCACTCGGCATCTGACCCGAGCTTGGCCTTGACGATGGCTTCGCGATGGGTCCACGGCAGACCGCGGAGAGCTTCGTCGCTGAGCTGAGACGGGATGCGCACGACTCAACGGCTGGCCTGAAAGGCGGCGACAGTCTCCTCGAACCGGGCAATGATCTGTGCACGGTCGTCTCGGAAGGCCTTGATCTCGCCCTCGGCCACGGCGAGCTTGTCCTGCATGAGCGAGATCTCGGCCTTAGCGGCATCAAGCTCGGCCCTGGTCGACGCAAGCTCGACTTTGAGTTCTTCAACACGCGACGCAGATCCAGCCGACGCACCTGCTGCGCCGATATTGCCGCCGGCGATGGACTCGCGGACGTAGAGCGCGACCCGCTCGGGGACGGACGCTGTCCCCACCACGAGGCTGTAGATCTCCCTCGCAGCGCTGGTATCGCGTTCAGCCTTGCTGAGTAGAGCCAAGGCAATCGACATCACAGTCTCGCCACGGGCGCCCACAGCCCACATGTCGGCCCCGCTGCCAGCAGCGCCATAGTCGCCAGAATGTTGGAGAGCGAGACAGCGATGTGGAGCGGACGCAAGCCGAGGACGGGCTCGACGGCGTTGATGTCGGCACCGGAGTTGATGAGGAAAGCAAAGGTTGGGACGGTGAAGGGGATGGTGTCGGCGGCGCGGAGGGCAACGAAGAGCGCGAGCGTGGCCTTGTTGATCCCATTGGCCAGCTCTGCGTCGCCGTCGCCGTCGGCCCTGAGCGACTCGATCATAGGGCCGGCCATGGCTGCCGCGGACGACTCTGGCGAGTAGACGTACACGTGGTTGCCGTCATCGTCGAGATCAAAAAGACCCACCCCGCCATCGATGAGCGTGCTGAGGGTGTCGTTGTCGAGGGCACTGCTGCGAGCCAGCATGCTGATGAGAGAAGGCCACCTGGCTCGCTCGCAGATTCTGGCGAGAGCAGCGAGGACCGACGGGTTGTTGTCCTGGGCAACAGCATAGAATAGCGCAGGGAGGTAGTCCGATGTAAGGAAGCCCGGCTTGTTGATGGTGTCGCGTGCGCTGTCTAAGTCCAGAGTCGTCTTGGGACATTTGTCCAAGTCGAGGTCAGTGAGGTTGGGGCAGCCTGCAGCAAGGGCAAGAACCGCCGCGTCGGTGATGGAGCACCTCCCGAGGCTGAGGGTGGCGAGGTTGACGCAGCTGCCGGCGACTGCAATCACAGCCGCGTCGTTGATGGGGCAGCATGCTAGTTTGAGGTCGGTGAGGTGAGGACCGGCAGCAGCAAGAGCGACAACAGCCGCATCGGTGATGTTGAAGCAACAGGTTAGGTCGAGGTCGGTGAGGTGGGGGCAGCTGTTTGCGATGGCGTCGACAGCAACATCGGTGATATTGCGGCACTTGCTGAGATTGAGGGAGACGAGATTGGGGCAGCTGTTTGCGATGGCGATCACCGCCAAGTCAGTGATCTGTGAGCAGGCCGTCAAGTCGATGGAGACAACGCTGGGACACTTCTCCGCCACCACCTCGACCATGGCATCGGTAAGGTTGTTGTTACGTTGACCCACAAGCTCGGCCACGCCGGCGCCATTGCCGACCATCCTCCGCACCTCCTCAACCGTCCTCACACGGCTCAGCTCAACACGTCGACCAACACCATAAGCAGCAGCCATACTTCTACACACAGACACGAGTACCTGTTTTGTCTGGCAAGAGAGAGAGAGAGAGAGAGAGAGAGAGAGAGAGAGAGAGAGAGAGAGAGAGAGAGAGAGAGAGAGAGATAGCCACCGCAGCCACGTTCGCCACCTCGCCCCGCCTTGACCCGGCGCGTGACATTTGCCGCGGTCGGCAAAAGACAAAGAGTTTCAAGCTTCTTCGTGCTGGTCAAGCAACTGAGGATCGACAACAAGGCCTCTTCCACCACACCGCCTCGCGCTTCACCCAGTCGTGATACACTCTAGAGTTTACCGCGGAGCAGAGCTGTCACAATGGCACGCCTCAGTTCCAGCTCGTCGCTCTGACCGACGACGACCGCGGCATCGGCGGCGACGAGTGCGGCAAACACCAGCACAAACACCCCACAGTCGGAGCCGTTGGTCTGCTGCGGGAGGCCAGCGGGCTTGACCACGGTCCACTGCGCCATGTTCGGCCTCCTGCCCGTCTCTTGCTGCACCTGCAGCACCACATAGTCCTTGAGCGCCTCCGCCAGCCCGCTGTCGACCGACCTCATCATTGAGTCGTAGCGCGTGATCTCTTTGGGTCCAAACTCAATGGCCAGAAGTATCCTGGTGATGGCAAAGGTGCTCCATCATCTGGTAGCGCTGTTGTTGTGATCAGTTGCCGCCACTACACCCGATGGAAGGGGAGGTCCGTGTCGTGGGCCATCACCCACCTACCGGATCAGCCCTCACATCAGGCAACTGCCCTCGCTTTTCTCCGCACACACAGATTCGCCGGAACGGCACGTCGCCCGCAACGGCTACACACACCCCTCTTACCATGGCCGCCAACGAGTTGTACCGACCATCGTTTGCCAAAACCTTGGCCCGCCTCAATGCTGACATTGCAGCGTATGTTGTGAACTCTAAGTGCTCCGGATGCGGACGCCGGGAGTGTGCGGCGAGTTCTGGCGAAGACCATACAAGCTACAGCTCTGACGGCGAGGCGGACGCCACCGAGTCGGACTCTCCGCGAGCTCATGAGGAAGCTGATGGGAAGAAGAAGAAGAAGAGGATAAGCATGTGGGAGGTGTGCCCTGTGGTTGTCATGCGGGTTGTAACGCGGCAGCTTAAGACTAGGCGGTCGCGCTGGAAGCTTCTTGTTGGGCACACGATTGCCGAGGAGCGTTTCCTCGCATCCGGGCGAGCGCTTCCCAGCAACCAGGAGCCTCTCCCTACTCCCAACCAAGTGTTCAGCATCATCGGGTCCGGCGAGGTCGAGGAGCACATCGATATCTCTCGTGCCGTGAAGATGTCGATCCTCACCTGGAACGTGTGCTGGACGAGTCCGTGCGTGGCTGAGCGCATGCACGAGATGGGGAAGGAGATCGCCGAGCTCGCGCCTATGTTTGTAGCGCTGCAGGAGATCCGACTGACTGACTTTGGCTCTACGTACGATTTGCTCTGCACAGAGCCGTGGGCGGACCAGTACGATCTGTTTGTCCGCAACGATGTGGCGTTGGACTCGGTTACTCTCTGGGGCGTCCGCAAGGTCGCCGAAGTCCATGTCATTGGCCATGCCGTGACCGCGTTCGAATCTTCGCATGAGCGGGCGATGCAGACGCTGGTGGTTGCAGTCGGCGGAAGAGACGGGCCGAGGCTGGCGCTCACGACGCTGCATGCCGAGTCGATGAAGGAAGGAGCGACGTGTCGGATGCGGCAGATCCGCAGTACTCTGGTCGAGCGGGATGCCGACGAGAGGATCTTCATCTTTGGATCCAACGGGCCCAACGGCATCTCGGACAACATGCACACCGGTGACATCGGTGTCGACGTTTCATTCGTGTGTGGAGATCTCAACGTGCGCCACCACGAGTGGGACCGTATCAAGCGCCTTGCCGGATTGCTCAACTGGACGGATGTCCGAAGCGGCGACACGTGGACATCCGACAATGCTCTCAACCGGAACTCGTTTGAGCGTGGAACCCACTTTCGTCATCGCTTTGATCGCATTCTGTACTCGACGAACAGGCACGGTGGGAAGTGGGAGATGGCCAGCGCCGTCCGTTCCCAACTCGTCGGACGTACATCCTTTGTCGGATCGGACGGATCAACCATGGTCCCATCCGACCACTTTGGCCTCTACGCCACGTTTACCATGACTCGCTGGTAACCAGCGACGCCGGTGATCAATCACGACAGGCTACAGACTTGAACCAAGTGCATGCAGCTTGTAAAAGCCCTGCCATCCTCGCTACACTACGTCCTACAGCCGCCACCGCTACGCGAGGGCGGTACAGATGGAGGACCAACTGATATACATGCCATGTGCGTCGTTCTCGTGGCGGCAGACCGCGTGTAGCGTGTTTCATGCCCGCGGTAGGGAGGGTTGAAGGTCGGCCGGTGGTTGATGGCCATCGAGCGGCAGGCCGGCCAAGGGGGCAGGGATCGGCTGGCCAATGGGGTAGGGCGAGGGTGGGGTGGCCATGGAGGGAAGGGGATCGGATGGAGAGAGGGACCATCTGGTGTACGTTGGATCATTGCCAATGCCGCTCCATTTTTTTTGGAGGTGCGGGTCGGGCAGAGGGGTGGCCACCAACAAACACACCCAGTCCTAACAGCCCACGCAACTCTCGACTCGCCTGTCGCCATGCACCGACCTGCACTTGCGAGCTTCGTCTGTCTTGCCCTGGTAGCCTATGCCGTGTCCGCCACTTCAGACACTGTCTTGGTGGATGTGGGTGGTCGTCGCTTCCGCACGCGTTCATCGACGTTTATCGAGGGCTACGCCGCTGGCTCTCGCCTCCCCGAGCTCGTCTCCCAAGCCACGCCCGACAAGCCTGCGTTCCTCGACATGGACCCAGACGTTTTCGCGCAGGTGCTCGACCTGCTTCGGCAACGTACTGCTTACCTGCTGCCCTCTGACTCCATTGAAGCTGCGCGGGTGCTCCTGGCTGCGCATGAGCTCGGCATCGCACCGGAGATCCTTCAGCCCTTTGCGGCTCTTCCGTCCTTGTCGCTCAACGCAGAGGCTTCCTACGTCAGTCCTCAGAAAAGAAGCTGGTCGAACCGGATGGAGACGCAGAAGAGCCTGCTTGTCGGCTCCTACCCTGACGAGCCCATCGTGCTCGTCGAGGACGTCTCTTCGGGAACCTTTGCCGGCCAGCCTATCTCGTTCGTCGCAACCCGCCCATTTGTCCTTCACAATGAGATGTACGTCGCTGGTGGTGTAGATGGCGCTCGTAGCATCGAGAACTGCACCTTTATCCTGTGGCGCGGGCGCGACTCGAACGCCGGAGGAACGATCTCAACGGTTTCTTCGGCCATAGACCGGGGTGTGCAGGCCTCGCTGACGTTGGAAGAGCCTCTCTTCGTGGACAAGGGCGACGAGCTCTCGTTCTCGCTCGTGTGCAAGTCTGTCGTGCCCTATGGTGAGAGTGAGGTCACGCTCGTGGGGCTTGGTTTGTGGGCCACGGCGCAGCCTCTGGTGCATGATGGACTGGCGGTGCTTTTCCGCGAGGTGTAGCACTCATCCAGCACGATGTTGTCCTCGAGCGACTACACAAAGCAAGCGTCGACCATTCTGTTGTCCTCTAACCAACCCAGTGACCAGGGGGCCGCCGCGTGCGTGATCTCTGACCGCCGATCGAATCTTCTGTCGGGGTGGGATGGACGGAGGGGCGACCGAGTCCCTCTGACCCACCCTCACCCATGCTATATTGAAGAGACCTCGTCCTACAGCAGGCACCGCTGCGCGAGGGCGGTGCAGGTGGTAGACCAGCTGGTGTATGTGCCATGTGCGGCGTTCTCGTGGCGGCAGACCGCGTGTAGCGTGTTTCATGCCCGCGGTAGGGGGGTTGAAGGCCGGCCGGTGGTTGATGGCCATTGATCGGCAGGCCTCAGCAGGATGGGGGGTGGGGGGGTATGGTAGGGGTATGGATGAGGGCGGATGACGATGGAAGGGGTATGGTGAGGGTTGATAGTGATAGGCATGGGTAGGGGTGGAGGGCGAGGCCGGCGGGGGAGGTGACCAGGGCGGGGCGACTCCGGAGCGGCGGCGGTGGTATTCAGGTGGTGCATGTGTGGAATGTGGGGGCAGAGGTGCGGGCAGAGAAGGAAAGAAGGCGGTCGACGGCACACTGCCGGGAGTTCGACCTGGGTGGAGGAGGGTGGGTGGGAGGTGCGGCGAATGTGGTGGAGAGGGAGTGATGAGGGGTGTGTTGGTGGGTGTGTGCATGGGGACAAAGGGTGGGTGGGAGGGTGTGGGTTTGTGGGTAATGAGGATGGTAGGGCGGTCTGAGTAGTGGAGGAGGCGTTAATTCTGGCGGACACTCTCTGTGGAATTGTTATGGTTTTCGGTTTCTGCCGATTGGCCGCAGGGAGGGTGGGTGGGTGGAGGTGTGGGGAAGGTGGTTGGGGCGGGGGGTATATCTCTCTGTGTGACGAGTGTGAAGGAAGTATGGCTGCGAATGGTGCTGGACGGACGGTGGACGTGTCGAATACGAGGACAGTGGAGGAGGTGAGAGGGGCTCTGGGGGATGGGGTGGGGGTGGGCGAGGTGACGGCGAGCAAAGGTGGCAACTCCAACAAGTCCTTCACCGACGCTATGGCAGCTGTGGTGGCGGAGATGTGCCCCAACCTCACATCCCTCATCTTGCGGAGCTGCACCAAGCTCACCGATGCGGTAGTGGTGGCGGTGGCCGGCGGCTGCCCCAACCTCACATCCCTCGACTTGGGCCACTGCACCAAGCTCACCGATGCGGCAGTGGTGGCGGTGGCCGACGGCTGCCCCAAGCTCACAACCCTCAACTTGGACAGCTGCTCCAACATCACCGATGCAGCAGTGGTGGCGGTGGCCGGCGGCTGCCCCAACCTCACAACCCTCAACTTGCACGGCTGTCGCAACATCACCGATGCGGCAGTGGTGGCGGTGGCCGGCGGCTGCCCCAACCTCACATCCCTCGACTTGTACAACTGCTACGACATCACCGATGCAGCAGTGGTGGCGGTGGCCGACGGCTGCCCCAACCTCACATCCCTCATCTTGGGCGACTGCACCAAGCTCACCGATGCGGCAGTGGTGGCGGTGGCCGGCTGCTGCCCCAACCTCACAACCCTCAACTTGCACGGCTGTCGCAACATCACCGATGCGGCAGTGGTGGCGGTGGCCGGCGGCTGCCCCAACCTCACATCCCTCGACTTGAACGGCTGCTCCAAGCTCACCGATGCGGCAGTGGTGGCGGTGGCCGGCGGCTGCCCCAACCTCACAACCCTCAACTTGCACGGCTGTCGCAACATCACCGATGCGGCAGTGGTGGCGGTGGCCGGCGGCTGCCCCAACCTCACATCCCTCATCTTGGGCGACTGCACCAAGCTCACCGATGCGGCAGTGGTGGCAGTGGCCGGCGGCTGCCCCAACCTCACAACCCTCAACTTGCGCGGCTGTCGCAACATCACCGATGCGGCAGTGGTGGCGGTGGCCGGCGGCTGCCCCAACCTCACAACCCTCAACTTGACCGCCTGCTCCAAGCTCACCGATGCGGCAGTGGTGGCGGTGGCCGGCGGCTGCCCCAACCTCACAACCCTCGACTTGACCGCCTGCTCCGAGCTCACCGATGCAGCAGTGGTGGCGGTGGCCGGCGGCTGCCCCAACCTCACAACCCTCGACTTGGGCAACTGCTCCAACATTACCGATGCAGCAGTGGTGGCGGTGGCCGGCGGCTGCCCCAACCTCACAACCCTTGACTTGTGGCGCTGCTCCAAGCTCACCGATGCGGCAGTGGTGGCGGTGGCCGGCGGCTGCCCCAACCTCACAACCCTCATCTTGCGGAGCTGCACCAAGCTCACCGATGCGGCAGTGGTGGCGGTGGCCGGCGGCTGCCCCAACCTCACAACCCTCGACTTGACCGCCTGCTCCAACATCACCGATGCGGCAGTGGTGGCGGTGGCCGGCGGCTGCCCCAACCTCACATCCCTCAACTTGGGCAACTGCTCCAAGGTTACTCTCGACTTGCATCGCGCACGCACTGCCATCGCCGAACCGGGCTTCCTTGCATCGCAGCATGCCCGTGCTCTGGTTGGCGTTGTCACTCTTGCGAACAGCCCAGAACTCCTTCAAGCACTGACTCACTTCTGCCATCGAGCCCATGTGCCCTCTCCAGTGCATCTCATGGCCCGCTGCAACGCTCTCTCTCCCGACACTCTCAACATGCTCCTTGCCTACGGCGCAGACCTCTACGACCTCGACGATGACAACAAGCACGCATACGTGCATTCGCCTGCATCTTATGCGCCAGCCTTTGTCGGTCTCATGATTGAGTCACTTCGGGCCAATGCTGATGGCGGGGACGAGCTGGCCAACGGTATCAACAAGGCCACGCTCACCCTCTTCATCGCCCTCCATGCCAGTGACATGACCCCGTTCCCCATCCCTGTCTTCGCGTTCCTCATCAACACGGGCGCCGACATCAACGCCCTCGAACCATCTCTTGGGCTGCGCCCCCTCCACATTGCCGTCTCGCTCTCCAACATCCAGGCAACCATGGCGCTGCTTGCTGCCGGCGCCGATGTGTGGTCTCTGGGCGCCAACGCCGAGACGGCTCTCGCCATTGCGTCTACTGTGCTCAACAAGCCCGGTAGCGACACCAATGCGGCTGCGAAGGAGGTCTACAATCTCATCGTCAACGGGGCCGTTCCCGAGCCAGTGGCCCTTTACGTGCGTGACACCATCGTTGCCGGTGGCGACATCGGAGGTGCCGCAGGCCCCTCGACTGGAACCGCCACGCGCGTGGACAAGCTAGAGGCCGAGCTCGCCGACACCAAGGCCAAGCTCGCTGCTACCGAGGCCGAGCTCGCCGCCGAGCTCGCCGACACCAGGGCCAAGCTCGCTGCCACCGAGGCCGAGCTTGCCGACGTCAGGGATCACGTCACCATCGCCACGGGCAACATCGCTGCCTTCCAGACTGACCGCGCCAACATCCTCCAATACGTTGACAATGCCATCGCCGCCTTCCAGGCAAGCCGCTAGTCCGAGAGTGCAAAGACCTCGGCCAGGCGATGCTCGGTTGACGGGCGAGCCGCGGTCGGTTGACAGTGGATGGGGAGAGGGAGGGACGGGGAAGGAGAAGGAGAAGGGTGTTGATAGGGATGGAGGGGGGGAGGGGGGGGTATGGGTAGAAAGGGGTATAAATACGCTGGTATGGGCATGGGATGAGTGCAGGGACTCGGTGTCTCCTCTTGCCGGTCAGGTGGTCCTCGGTTGACGGGCTGCGGTCGGTTGACAGTGGATGGATGGGGGAGAGATGGGGAAGGATAACTACATTTTTGGCGGTCAGGTGGTGCTCGGTTGACAAGAGGGGGGGAGCGCCTCCCCAAAAAGCACACAAAAATAGGGGAGGGTCCGGGCTTTAGGGTTGGGGTTTGGGGTTTGGGTTTTGGGGTTGGGGTTGGGGGTTTGGGGGTTTGGGAATCGATCGCCGGGGCGGCCATGGCCGGGTTGCGGAGTAGCCATTGTGGGGTGGCGGCTTTGGGCCGTGCCGCTCAGCTGGCACGTCGATACGGCGGGCGCTCAACTTGTCGGTCACACCCGTGCTTGCATGCAGCATGTTCGAATAACATCAGAGCAACCACGGTGGTGCCCATGGCGGAGAACAGCTTGTAAATCAAGAGGAGCAGAATGCAGCTCTTGTACGTACTCTACGAGGGGTAGCTCTAGTACGAGACAAAGACGACCGTCGACATGAGTTCGATGAGTAGCAGACCCCGACAACTGCGCCAGACACGACACCACCGGCATCGATCTCAATCGCAGCTATGCCACGTCGTCACCTGATCGACGCCCGGCTGCCGAGCGAATCGGCAGCGAAGACTTGGCCGGGAGGCAACCACTTGACCATCCTGCTGCTGCAGACCTGTGGCGACGAGTGACAGACCACCAGCCAGATGTGGTACTTGCGCTCCATTCCGGTGAGTGTACGGTGTACTTGGGATGGGACGAAAGGTTTGGACCATGGTCTGGACTGGAACTCAATGCATCACGTGCTATGGCGGCGGCGGTGGGCATTCCAAAGTGGGGACCTGCCGGCAGCCTCTCAGACTACCTCGCTCGAGGTGCGCATCTTGATTCATTACGAGAGTCTGGGCGAATCACAATCGGCCTCACCCTTGAGCTGTACGGCAATGAGACCGCGACCTCGTGTTGGGATCAATTCAACCCATCAGAGCTCCACGAGCCGCGTGGCCAGGAGGTCGTCTACTCGACAGCAGCAAGGGTGATGGATGGGTTGTCGGACGTGTGCATCCTGCTGTCACGACCCATGATGGTGTGATACAGGGAGCATGGCGAGAGCTTGTTGCAGAGAGTGTGCTCGAGCTTCCCTCTCCGCGTCTACCGCTTGCTCATGCAGCACACGGTGGCGATCAACGTAGAGCGAGCCAATTTGAGATATGAGCTCACCCCACTCGGAGGTCACGGCAATGTCTCGCACGTTGCCCACCAGCATAGTTGTGACGAGCGCTGCGATGCAAGTGCGTCATGGGGCGTGGCCACGACTGAGGAGTATGCGTGGATGGCTTTATCGACTGGCCAGTTGCTGGACAGCAGGCTCGTGACCAGCAAGCAGGTGATGGGATGGAAGAGGATGGATATCTGCATCATCCGTCAGTCTGTCCGATGAGTGTGTGTCGATGCTTGGATGGAATGGGAAGGTGGAGGGAGCGGAGCAGTGATCACCAAATTCTTTCGGCGACGGACGATTCAGAACTACGACAACGGCTACCTCACAACACACACCGCTTCTACACGGATCTCCGCCAAGTCGACAACCCGTTTATCGGTCCCCGTTCCGTACCCATGGCGGCAGGGCAAGGCATGTTAGCGTAGCAAGCAGAGCTGGATGCTTTTACGCGATCGAGGCTCGGTAGGAGGGCGTCCTTCAGGTGTTCGCAGACGAGAGTTGGCACAACGCCCACATCCCCAGCAGCCCTTCCGACGAGGATGTGATCAAGTTTGCCGAGGCCATCGTCTCCTTCACACACTATCCGAGCGTGGCCAACACGTGTACTTCGCAGACACGGACAACCACAGAAGCCAGTGGCGATCCCATGCCGCTGCCAGCTGGTGCCAAGGTTGCCATCGGGCTTGACTCGCCACGCACCTCGTCCAAACTGGGTCGTGCCCTGTTGCCGATGGTGGCGCGCGGCGACGAGCCTGCGATGGTCCTGGACTACTTGTGTCGGCCAAGCTGGAGAAGCTCATGGATGGCGAGAACGTCATGGTCAGTAGCTACAACGAGTTCAAGTCCTGTATCATCTACACAAGCAGCCGCCGCGGGGTCGACTTGAATCGGGCGCGCTTGATTGTAGTGGTCGGCCAGGACAAGATAACAGTGCGGCTCCTGCAGGCGCTGTACGCGGCGTCGGATGTGGCAGTCTCGGACACAGCCAAGTACTCGGTCGAGGGGCTCGGGATGCTGCGCGGGCGGGGCAGCCCGAGCGAGCTCGTGTACATCGATGCGGATGGTAATGGCTGTATGCTGTGTCTCCCAGCCCGCCCCATCCACTACCACGAGTATGCCTACAATCGCAGGCCCACTGTCGCCGAGGAGTGGATCGTGCCCGCCAAGTTTGTCGAGGAGGACCAGTCGTCGGGCAAGGCGTCTCGCGCCGGGGGTGAGCTGATGCGCTGCTTCAAGGGCCGCGCAGAGCTCGAGAAGGCGCGATCGGTCACGTTTTGGTGCACCGGTCAAACAAGAAGCACCTTTGGACGTATCCTCTCGAGGTTGTTGACAGGGGTGATGTGTCCTCGTTCTGGGCCGTCCTCGGGCGCGAGTGTCCAGAGGCTGTGCCGGTGGACGACGATGCCAATGACGACAACAGCTGCGTCAAGGGCAATGCGACAAGCTTGGTTCAGTTCCCGGCATCGACAGATTGCGGTGCCGCCATCGACCAAGCGGTGGCCATGGGGCGCAAGCACTTGCGGGTGCACGGGGTCCGCAAGCGGGTTCATGACACGGTGGCTGTCTTGGGCATGCCCGCCAGCTACGAGTGGCTGAACGCGGTCATTGCCACGGCCATCGCGTCGAACAAGAGCGACACACCGTTCAAGCGGCTGGCATTTATCGGCGACACGGTGCTTACCCTTGCGCCATGCAGGACATGGAGTCACGGGAAGCGTGTCAACAGTACCTCAAGGCCACTGGCATGGGTGATATTGTGCTTTCGGAATCCTATGATGTACAAGCCGAGGCCATCTTGGGTGCCATCTACCTGCTGTATGGCCTCGACGACACCGAGCGCGTCTGGCGTATGTTCGTATCGGCAGTGGCCTCGGTAGACGATGCGGCGCCGAGCGGCTCAAGCACTTCAGCGCTGAGAAGTGGCAAGTGCTCATCAGCAGACCGTGACGACTCGTTCGATGGAATCCGTGGCGGCCTGGCAG